GTGCAGTGAGACAAACAGTTACCAATGAATAAAGCAGAATGTCTTGACAGCACCTCATCAGAACTACTAAAACCAGAGATCCTTAGCTCGCAGTGATCTGAACAGCTCTGGAAACCCCTGATATTATATAAAATAAATCCTTATCACTATGCATAAACATCTGTTTACAGTAGAGAGAGAAACATTTAACATTAATCTCACTTAAGCTCTCAACACTTCAGAATCTCTGAGACTAGGGATAATTGCTAAAGATGACTAATGAAACCATCATGCAAATAATGGAATAAAAATAAATGGTATTTTGCTACCACAATTATTCATCCAGAAGCAATTGTTCCACACAGCTTGAGGATAAGAGAACAATGTTTCCCAACAGGACCTGATTTTCATTCAAGCTCCTCAGTTCCTTCCATAAAATAAGGTTATATAGTAGTAATAATACAGTTTATAATTTATTAGCAGTATATTCCCTTCCATCTGCAACAGGCATGCAATGCTAAAGAAGTGTAATTTTGTACTGGTACACGCAGAAGATTTTCATTCTAAAGTAGAATGAAATAAGATCTAGTTCCATAAAATTATTTATATTTTTAACTCAGTTTGCTGAGCCAGCAAAAATTGTTGGCAATATATAGTGTCTTTTCCCAGAAAGTCTCTCACAACACATGGGGTTTACAAATCACCAGGTAGCATTATCAGTTATATATTTTTTATGGTCACTAAAATCTCACTGCGGGGGTGGGGGGATGGGGAAATCGATTTAAAGTCCTGCAATTTAGGCAAGGCTCTCCCAGGACACCACTTCACACAGCATGGAAAGCACAGGCTTGTTAACTTTGTGTCTCCTTGGAACTCTGCTCACCAATGGCAGCCACCACAGCCTTCCACTTCATATACTAAGCAAAACCACATTGTTATACATAAAGTAGCTTTATGGAAGGAAAGAAAGAGCTAACTGCAAATGCAATTCCCTAAAATACAGCACAGAACACGATATAGCAAATGTTGAAAACACCATACTCCTAAATTGATGACACAAAGAAAGTGCTGTACTATCAGCTATAGAAAACCTCTTTGCATAAACATTCTTACAGTAAACGTTTGTTCTCTACTCAAAGACCGCTTTACTCTATTTTGCAATACTTTTTCTTTTACCAGCTGTTTATACAAGTTGGCTATAGAACCAACAAGGCTGTTGATGTAAAAAAAATACAGAAAATAATACACAACCACTTAATAGAAGTGGAAATTTACAGAAAAAACCCAACATTAAAGTTAAAAAAGCAAAAACCTCAACAGCCTACTTTCACCTTTAGATAAATTAGAGAAATTTTGTAAATTATTAAAGGTGATGTCAGTCCTAACTTCAGTACTACTACGGACATCAGACAGGAGACATTAACCCATACAAAGTATGCAAATAAACTCGATTTCAGCATACCTTAACACCTATTCCAATGCATTATGAAAGTACTCAGCATGTACTAGATACCTGTAACACAGACTGAATTTAAAATATTATAATAAAATACAAAAAGAAAACCAGATCATTCCAGAGTTTGGAAAAGTAAAACATATGGGCCATATGTCTGTTCAGTCATGACTTCAGCCATCTCTTTCTCAACAGTTGATTTAAGTCAAGCTTATGCTTATACAAATAATCTGAACACACATGCAAATTATTACAGCTTTGTCATGTGCAGTCATCTAGTTACCACTCTCAGCAAAGTATTAAATACTGTTTTTTACAAAAAACATAATACAGACCAAAGAGATAAAGGTCTGGACCCTAAAATACACTGAAATAAAAACCTACATACCTACACAAAGTTTGCAAAACTCAATAAACAGCAGCTAAATAAAGTCACACACATATACAATACTATTAGTAGTCCAAGACTACTCCATTGACTATTGGAAATGATTTGCAGCTGAGTAATGTAGCATATACTACAGCTTGGAAATAGTTCCAAAAGTCTCAAAAGAGAGATCCTACCCAGAGGCTGCAGTACAGTAATGACTGAAGAAAAACTGGGAGCATTTGATCACAACACTAAAGCCTGTTCTGGCAACATAGTGCTGCTAGAAATAGCGTTTCTAGATGTCAACTGCAATCTTGTCAAATCATGGTCACCTGAATAAAACATTCGAGAGAGTTTTATTTGTGCTGAGATTTAAGAACCTATAACAAAATGTCCTTAAATACAGCTCTTCTAATAATTTTTTAGTGTGTTCCACAATTGAAACATCCCACCTTTGGGGCCTTTCAAGTTGTGTACTGCAAGAATGTATGCGTACAGACCACTGCAAATGACACCAGTCTCCCTTTGCCTACATGACTTGATTGCAGTTATACTAAATCCCCACATACTGTTTTATTGCTCTTCTTGTAAGTTATGTTCAGTTCTCCTGTGAATAAATCCAAATTTCCATCACCCATCTGTACCTCCCTGTATTTTTCACTGGCGCGTCAGCAACACATCTTGTGAGAAAACAGAAGTGACTGTTGAAGAGACTGTGGCTCGGTAACTCAGCAAGAACTTCAATAATGTCTTTGAATTGCTCAAGTCTTTCCCTGGATTGATGAAGTTTCTGCAGCCCACCTGCAGCAAGCTGGCAGTAATAAGTTCTCCACACACTGCAAACTAAGTGTCTGACTATTACATGCCTGTTTCTAAGTATGTGAAAGCTGGAGGCAAAGGCTTGTCATTTTACTACTCCGTACTTGCTTCTTTCCTTATGTCTTCTAACAAAGGTACTAGCGTAAGGCCAAGTAAGAATAGAACTGAACTCCCTGGAGATGCCTGCTGGGAGACACGTCATAGCACTTCTTCAAGAAATTTCAAAACAACAGCTTAAGGGCAAACTTTTCCATTAGAAATCAAGTTATTTTGAAAGAGCCAATATTTACAATAAAGGTCACAGTACATCAGATTAACTGAATTGCTGAATTTTCAATCTAAATGTACAAAATGTACAATACTTGAAGTTCAGAATACTTTCCAAAATCTCACATTTATAGTCTGCAAAGACAAAACCCGAGTTTTCTTTCTTGTTACATCAAGCAAAAACATCTTTATGTTAATTTAATGTGGACTTTAGGGCATGTAAATGCAACTATAACAGGACAGACAAGCCTGAACCTTTTTCTTTCCATACATACAATAAATCTAAATAAAATTTAAATATTTAGCCTAATTAAGACCATAATCCTGACAGTATTACCCATATCTTCTGTTCGCCGTATTCCCTTGCTGAAAACATTCAAAGTTTCTTCAGAACATTTCAACAGCTATATAGAGCTATCAGAATAACACTCCTCTTGCACTACTTGTAATATAAAAGTACTTCAGAGTTACACCTGGATGAAATGTAAAGAATGTAGTATTACTTTTCTACCTACATTTCTTGCTACCACCAAGCATCTACTTGTGTCTGGTAATTCCACAACCATTAAATGGCAGCTTTTCTCCTGCACAGTGATGACTTACCAATTTCAAAGTCGCCTATCTTGTACTACTGAAGACTTGGAGCTTTCTGAAACATGTCTCCTGAACTGCTTCTCCACCAAAACAATAAGTGTATTTATACATCTTGTACTTCAGTTACTGAACACTTCATAACATGCATACAGTTTTAGAAATTTGTTTTACTAAAATAAGAAATTTGAGACATGACAGGATCCTTGTCTATCATAACAGCCAATCCAATTCACAGCAACAACAGTATTAATCGTACAAACCTAAGCAGCAGGAGAACTTTTGTGGGAATTATAGATAAGCTTCAGGAAAGAAAAGAGAGGAGCTTGGCTTTTAACAAAAGCCAAAGAAGAAGTAATTCACATTCTTAAGTGAGAACTTTCTGTGTGGATAATGTAGAGCCTAGAATTTGTGAAGGTGGTCTTTGACCATTTAAGAGACCTATGCAAGGTCTCTTCCTTGCATACGACTTGTAGAAATAGCCATAAGTTCATCACTGACCTAAGCAAGGTTCATTATAGATACCGAAACAAGGATGGATTTAAAAACACATAAGAAGTAGATCTTCAATGATTCAACTAGAACAGCTGCAACACTCGGAGTCATAAGTGAAAATCAGTGTTTGTACTGTTTGTACATGCACAGAGGATGTGCCATCACATGTTGTATTATCTACTCTACATTGATTCAAAGTATTTGAGATAAAGATGGAAGCATGAACTACTACACTTGAATCACCTCAGTAATTTTTAAATATATGTTTAATCCTTCAACATGGCTCACAAACACAAAAAACATCTGTGGCTTCACCAAAACTGCATCAGAAACTACTATAGGCGTTATTTAGAAATCTGTGTTTTTCAAATACAGGCAAAATATAGATACAAGAACAAATATTAAGGTACAATAAAGCTATCCTAACTACCAGACATACATGAGTTTTAGGCAGATACCGGCACAGAGTACTGTACTGCAGTAAAAACTTTTGATGTTTGGTTGGCTCCATGTGACATTACAAATATTCTATTGAACTTAAAAGCTCATAAACTTTGTATGGCTCTCAGAAACATCCCAGAACTCCTCCAAGAAATCCATTACCAGAAAAAGCAATGTATCCTTAAACAGGGTTTTAGGAATCCTAGGGAGGTTAATGAAATTTATTTTTATTGTTGAGTGAAAAAAGTTACTGTCTTCCCCTTTAAGAAAGCAGAGATAGAGTAAAACGACTAAATATTACATGTTCCCTGTTATCACAACAAAGCGCTTGCACGGAACTTCATTTCCTCAAGTCTAAAATCAAAATTAAATACTCCTTATGGTAAGACTAGATTTTGTTAACACTGGCACACAACATAATGAAAGCATGGCTTTCAACTGTAAAGGCACCGCTAGACGCAGTTATGACTATTAAGAACATCAGTAACCATAACAGAAGCATATTGTATCACAATCACTGCATGTGAAAATAAGACTTGGTACACTTCAGAGACTGACTTTTATTGTAGGGATAAAGTCTCCTACCTTGAAAAGACTGCTTGGCTCTGTCCACTAGTTCTTCAACTGGATAACTTGCTAGCTCTCCTCTGGCATGCTTGGTTTTGCAGTAGGTACATGCATTGAGACACCTGTTTAGAAAATGAAAATATTCAGTTTCTAGCCAAGAAAGGCTTTATATGCACAGCTATACTTATTAAGTACATCTGGAAAGAAGGAGCTTTTATATCTATGGCTAGAAAATAGTAGTATTCTGTTTTAAAACCAATAAAGTAACAAAACTGGATTGAAAAGTGTTCTGTCCTCCTACTTCTTAAAGTATCTTTCACATCTACATAAAAGGTTGAAAAAATGATCAATGGAAACCACATATGAAATCCAAGAGTGGGAATTTACATATTTTTAGAATGCTATAATAGGGTTAATAATTGTTCATTACTAAAGATGATTGCTCCAAGCTTCCAGTCCTGCCACTACATAAAAATCCAATCTGAACAAGGAAATGAAGGAAAAGAGCCCTGAAAGACTAAAAGTAGATTTTAAACATAGTGTGTATTCTTGAAAGCACATTTTAATTAACTTTTCCTTCTTTCATTTACCTTGTGTAAACAAAGCTTATAACATAATGAAGACAGAATCACCAATTAGAAAGACAGTTTGGCACAAAAGATTAGGGATTTAATGAAAAACACCAATAAGAAACTGAAGAAACAATGTGAATGCTTTTAATTTACCTGAAAATGTGGTAAAGACAGGCTAATTCAAAGTAAAAGGATGGAAAGATCAAAATAAACAAACAAAACCGATCATTAGTTGTATGTTTTTCTTGGATTAGCCTTTGGATCCTGGTAGTGCCATGAAAGTAATAAGCAGAATGTTACAACGAGTTTGTTGCACTTTTTTCCTTTCCCCACTCCCTTTTTAAAGCTGATATTGCCCCACAGCTTTTTACAGGTTAAAGCATTTAAATCTCTAAAAAACCCATTAAAATTATAAATATTACTCTTGCTCATGGTTATTAGAAAACCTTAAATTCTGTCCATTTTCAAATCACAAAAGCCACAACTTCAATAAAGTAAATCATATGAGTGTGAGAAAAGGCTAATGCTCGAACTACAAAGTATTACTATGTATCTACAAGATCACGTTCACTAGTTGGATGTATCTTGCCTTCTACTGCAATGTCTTAACAACTCCACGACTAGGTAATTCTTGCTTTGCAAACTCCCAAGTTTTTCCTTCACAAAGTTTCCCCTCACACTTCAGTTACACACTGTTCACTGTCCTGGCTGCATTGGGATAGAATCACAGATTCATATTTCTATTCAGGAAAGCTGCATTTCTGCAAAGACTACAATATCCAGTTTCATGTGAATGAAGTTAATAAGGGACTTTGTTTTAGTTTTGGAGTAATACTGGTACGCAATAATCAAGGTCTTCAGCACTTTCAAGTCGATGAGGTTCAGAAGTTGGAGTAAGCAAAAACCAGGGCGGCTGACCCCAAGCTGGCCAAAATTATTCCATGCCATAAATGTCATGCTCACTGTAAGCTGGGTAATTGCTGGAGATGGCCCTATTTCCTTGATGGTTTTTCTCTCTGAAGGGTCTTAACCATCATTCTGCTCCTGAGGCCTACTTCCCCACTCATTGGGACCACTATAGGAGCTGAGTATAACTTCATGTATGTGATATTAATATTTCTATTAATACTAGGTTTTATTATTATTTTATTAAATCTGTTTCTATTTCAATCCACAGGTCTCCTTTCCTTTTCCCAATTTTACTCCCCGACTGGGGAGGAGTCATCAGGTGAGAGAACAACTGCCTAAACCATGACGTTCGCACACGCAACGGATCAGAAAGCGCAGAACACTGCACTGAACATTTTCTCGTGTGCCCTCTCACCCCTGAGACCTTCCCCACCAACTGAATCTTTCTTTCTGCCAGAGGACATCTAGATAGGTCATGATTCTCTCTGCTAGACTGGATGCTGTAAATTTTGCAGTCTTATGCGAATTACTTTTCCTGTGTATCAGACCCAAATGTCAGACTTAGCATCCATTTTAGATGGGAAAATTACAAGATACTATTTAACTGCAGCAATGAGACTGTTCTATTAAGAATTAAAATGTATATGAAATAAGCTGCCATTCAGTAAAACATACAATCGTTTATTACAAATAGAAAAAAGACCTAAATCTCAACCTTTGAACACTGTTCTTAATAAGTGGTTCATCCCCACCCAAAGAAACTTATTCATCAAATGTGAAATAATTTTTATGTATCTCATCTTTCTTCTGCAAATCAAAAGCTTTTCATTGTGCAAGATCTAAAACATGTTTAAAAGAGCAGCATTTGAAATCAAATGTTTAAAAGAGCAGCATTTGAAATCAAAAGAGTATAAGCACATACTTGGTTTATACTTTCTCTGTGTAATCTATTTAGCAAAATTAAATGTTACCTACTAGGTCACTGGCCACCTAAAGTATCCACAAAGGGCTTTCCCTCACAGCCCAGGGGGTACTCATTTCTCTCCCTGTTTCCTATCCATGACTCTATCAAACTCCTTCAATTCTTCCAGGGTTGCAAAGCATGTCTCTCTCTTTTTCTTTTCCTTCCCCCCTTTTTTTTTTGGTTTGTTTTAATTTGTTTGGTTTTAAAGCCCAACTCTCCATTCAACCCAACGCTTCCCTTCTAAGCAGGCTCCCACCCAGTCAGCCTGTCACACTCCTTCCCCCTACATTGTTCCTAAGCTAGGCCAGCTTTCTTCCACACAGCTACACAAAAGCAGCATTATGGATCGATGATACATACTGTCATGTCCTAAAAAGCAAGCCTAAACTCGCCTTTGGTGGCCTGGTATAGCGTGTTGGCGGAGGCTGAAGGCCAGACTCCCTCCCCCTCAGCAGGACAGGGGCAGCAAACAGGCAGATGGGGAACAAGGGAGCCCTTTTACAACCAGCAGAGAAAGATGTGGTTTACACTGATGCTATTTGTACCAATCCTTGTTTTCTGCAAAGAAAATAACACTACCAGCTATTTTGTCAGTCTTGTCAGGCCACCAAGAAGAGATTAACTTGCAACAATCCTGCCCAATGATGCCAACAACATACTTTAAGAGATATTTGTCTGCCACCAGTAACAAACCGATGCATCAAGATTTTATTTCTTGGGATGAAGTAAATTTATTAAACTCAAATTTAAGTCAGGATTAGGGAAGGAGAAAAAAACCAAACAACAAACAACAAAAGAGCACCAACAACTTTTATAATTTATTTCAATTTGCAAAGTCTGACTTACTAAAAATCTGGTGTAAACGTTTGAGTTTCAATGAAAGTTTATTACCATTTTTTTGGCATTTGGAACTGTAACCTTACATGAAAACAATGTTTTTTGTAGAACTTCTTTAAGATGTGTCAATTCATCATAAGACTGAGAAGAACTATAATTTTAGAACGTTTTTTAAAAGAAACGTCTAAATTTATTCCTCAGATCTAAATATAGCCAAAATCTAAACTAGTATTGATACACAGTATCAAGGATTATTATTATACACAGCATAAAGGATTATTTATGCCATTTACAAAGAATTTTTCTGTTTCTTTATCACAGAAGCCCATGCAGAGCATATTTATAAAAACCAGCATGTTATGTGTTCCTCCTTTATCTTCATGTCTTATGCATAAATCATATATATTTCTCACTATGAATTTTGCTCTGTATTTGGGCAGTAGTATTTGCAAAGCTCTACAGCAAGAGTACTAAATAGCAAGAGTAGTCAATAGCAAGAGTACTAAGTATTAAGCAACAGTACTCAATACTGAAACTATTTAATCTCTAAACTTTGAGGATAAGTTCCGTATCTTCAATCAATATTCCTTTCCTAACAAGGCCTGGTTTCTAGTAAACCAGTTTCTCCTACATCTTCAGAGTTGATTTCTGGGCAAATATTCTTTAAAATCAGTCCTGGGCTACCTGAAAAATAGAGTAACACCAGTTTTTCTCTGGTGCTAAATAAATGTGGTCACAAAGACAGAATGGAAATGTACAGCAAGAGGCATGAAGAAATAAGGGGAAGTTATTCTCCAAATATTCACAGTATTATGTGGGGTTGTTTCTAAGAGCTTTATTACTATGGTCTTTAAGTATAACTTCAAGGGGTTTGTTGATTTATTTTGGGGTAGGAGCTGAAGAAGTTGGGATTTGGAAGCAGACTTGTTTTGCTGCATCAATTAACTTATTCCTACTATAAAATAAAAATATGATGGAATGCCTAAGAATTTTTGGTTTTCTCTTTTTAGCGTTTAAAGAGATTATATAACAAAACCAAATGAGACACACTTTCATGTAAAATAGTAAAGGATCAATGTTGGAAAAGAAACTAAAAAAGACAAAACTGTTAAATCCTATTTGTACCATATTTGTTAAATTCAACTTGGGAAAAAAATAATGGGCTTCAGCTAACTAACAAAAGGATGCAGATTTCAAATACTTGTAAAAATGCTGAACTAACCACTTTTCACAGATTTGAGCATTATCTGTTCTTGAAAATAGAAAATTAAACCAAATGATAAGTAAATAAAGTATTTGTAGGCTTTTTTTCCCCTAGTAAGCCAGCCTCTACTCCAAATTTCCAGCATAACAAATTATTCATATGTCCATGCTGCCACATACTCTGACCACAGACAACGAAGTGGAAAAAGGCTGCTGAGAACTCTCAGAATCTGAGCATTGCCTCTTACGAAGTGGCATTCATCAGCAACTAAAACCAGCCCAGTAAGTAAAGCTCTCCTTAAAATTCAGCCTTTATCACAGCTAAAGCTCAAATATATGGGACTAAAAAGCCAACGTGCTAGTAGTTGCAAAAGAGTGTGTTGCTTTGTGTTAAACTGAAAGCCTTCTTCAAGCATTTAAAGCTGGTTTGTAAGTGTTAGGTTGTATTAATACAGGTCAACAGGTTTTTTGCACAAAGCAATCACAGACATTTAGAGAAAAAAATTATTAATGGTCATTGTGTTTGCAATTACCAACATGTTTTGGATATCTTATGGTGATTCCAGAACAAAAAAAAGTCCTGGTTTTCCAACATACTAAACTAATTAAAGATACTTTGATTTATTAACCTTTCGCTTTGAATTATTAACCTTTAATCAGCTATG